CATATGGTTAACCTTTTTCAGAGGAAATTCTAGAAATCTTGCTTGATATAATGACATCTACTTTAGGTATATCTACACTAATGCTTTGGATAAGGTGCACTTCTTAGGTCAATATTATTTGTATTGTTCTGGAAGAAAAATCTCCACTTTTCTGCAAGAAGATTACATTTACCATCTGTTGCACAGTCTAGGGTATATATGAAAATTTATTATGATGATCCGAGCCTAGGTTACAATTTTGAGAAATAACACACAATTTGTAATATATTTTGGTCGTTCGACTGTCTAACAAGAAGATGGGGCCACTACAACATCGCTCGTCCGTCGTGCTATGCAGAGTCGAAAGTAGTCGACAGAAACTTCGATCGAAGGAACATTCTTATTTTTTGTTACGCTTAGATTCATGGTTTGTGGCCGAAGGGTGGGACCTTTTCAACTATCTTAGTGAGTGGGTCCAGCCAGGCTGTATTTGTTGCAGATTGGTCTCGGAAAGAACAAAATCGCATCGGGTGAAGGACCAATGTTCATCGTATGACGTCATGACAATAAATATGTACCAACTCAATCCTTAGGTCGTGCAAGAACGAGCTACTTATGTTAGTATGTCCTCTTGCATTTGTCCCATGACCACATCAGTCTCCGCTTCCATGGGTGTGAATCATCTTGTCATTTGATGTGTATATGATGGTTTTTTCACAAGCTCCGCCTTGCAGTGTCTGCAAAGGTTGACATTATTCAACCTGGTCATTCCCTTCTTACCAATCTTTGATGAAAGTTCATGAAACTATATTCGTACTTCGCGATTTCCGGAGAGTAGGTACCCAAGAGTAAATTTCACGCATGGTACTTTTAAATTCTTTTGAAAAATAGACACCAATCAGCATTTCTCCTCTTTTCAAAATTTGGATCCCATTTCAAATGAATAGACTACCAAAAATATAATGGTAGAGAATTATTCATCCTTGAGAGAAATTTTACTTATTGTTCGATTAAATATATTTCAATTTTTTCATATGTATTCCATGATTGCAATAAACATAAATGAAAAAAAAACGAACATCAAAACATTTAATGAATGTTGAATGTTTCACTTCTTGTGACAATTAGCATTTCATGATATGTAATTTTAAGATATTAGAATTCAACATTCTTTCTTTACTTAATTGTTGCATAGTTGTCTAGACCAATTTCGATTCTCAACACCAAGTGATTATGATGTGATTCTGTTAGTCATATCATTCATTTAAAATATCTATAATTCTTAAATCATTATGATTTTTCCATACAATTTTACATAGTATTTTTTAAAAAAAAATAAAAGAAATGTTGAACATTCATCAAATTTTGATACTTTTATCAAATAATTATAGATTTGATAAAAGTTGAGTTTGAGTTTTTTTTATTTTTAAATCTACTAAAGTTTGTAGAAAAATGATGATTAATATTTTTTTATCTTTGTGATAAATTCTTTCTCAAAAAAAATTTTACAACATGACTTACTGTAATGTATATATAATTTTACTTTCAATATATTAGTGCTTGTAAATCATTCCCTAGCGGAGAATACACATACTATGGCCAAATATGTCACATCAAGTAAGTTTTTCACTACAAGACTATTATATTTGTCTTGTAGCTTTGAAAATCAATGTGTTCAATTGTAAAATATGAATATTTGGATAGATTTTCCATTAAAGCTTAAAAAAATCTCATGTATTGTTTGATGCTTTTGAAGTATCTAATTTTTTTCCAAAATTTTAGTTACTGAATAACTATCTACTTGGTACAAACCAATTTTTTAAAATTTATAAACCAATATCAAGTTTGAATGACAGAATAATAAGAATTTTTAATGGTCTAATTGAATAAATTCAATCGAAATATGCATTATGCATATTATAGTCTAAAAATATCACTTATTTTGCTTTCGGCTTCTTGAATATTTTTGAAACAACTTAATATTTTAGAATTGAGAATATTGATTAATAAATACATCCAATCTATGAAATTTTTTTGAATTTATAATAAAATTATATTATATTATATTAAATTATTATAAAAAAATCACTTCAAAGTTCTTACATTTATAAATTTCATTTATGTTTTTAAATAAATTTAAATGAAATATTTTCACAATTCTAACCAGCGTTACAATCTCATTTCAAGTACTTGAAAATTGTAAAAGCTCTTAAATTATACTTACTATTTAGTATCAAAACAAAGAATGCTCTGTATACTTGGTTATATTACTGTGACGTTACGATTGATTACTTGATATTAGTGAAACACTGAATAATAATCTTACAACAAATAGACACAAGGTTTATTTTGCGCAAATCTATTATGCATCCTATTATAACAACATATTATTAAAAGCACTGACTGATACCATGTGATGTGATATGTATAATTTGACTATATAATCTTAATTTTTAATGCAAACCTCATTATTACATTAGAAAATTCAAAATTGAAATTTGATTTAATTTATAATCTTTATGATGAAAATACCAACGTTTCTTTTCTACACAAATTGAGATTTTTTTCTCAGATTTTTATTTGATACAACAATTCTATATTTGTCATAATTCAACCTACAATGCAAGTTAAATATATGTAGATGCATGATTTGTTATAATATGATAAACAATACTTAATAAGACGTCTTACATCTAATTCAATCCATCAATGCATGCTAGCCATTTACATGTTTTATTACAAGTCCAATTTCAATCAATTATCATTGAAGAAAATCCTATATGACAACTTCGTTATGCTTTCTTTCTAATCATTCACATCGGTAAATAAGTTAGATAGATATAGCTAAGTAATTTCATCAGATGAAAATTACAGATGAAATTATTACCAACAATTTCCGATAATATATTTGATATTTTACGTACGATGTTTTCAAAATAAATTTAAAAAATTGGGCAATATTTTTGTAATTTATGTGTATATTTATTTTTTCTAATTTTCTCTAGATTATAAATCTAGAATGTAGATTTTTTTCTAACTCAAAAATCTTTGTTAATAAAATTTATAAGATTAATCTTTAATTATAAATATAAATTTGAACATTGATATAAAATATTGATTTTTTGAAATTAAATTTGTGAAATAGATTCAAAAATATGTGATCTAATTTTTATTTTTCATTGTCTCTTGTGGATAATTCTTGCAATTCATTAAACAAAAAAGAAAAAATAAAGAATGAAATTTTTATTTCTTTTGAATGATGAGTCAATGCACAGAAATTTATAGCTGTAATTTCACATGTTCTGTATCAGTTTAGGCATCTTGAACAATGATCCATCTTGATTTACATGATGCAATGATCACAAACTTATCAACAAGAATTTTTTTTAATCTTTTTTATTGCATGTTTTCAAATCAATTAGTATATGAATATAATTTTTTTCCCAAGAAATAGATAAGCTTGCAATTTTTTTTGGATTTTTTTTATTTTGAAATATCTGATGAGATATTACTTAAAATTTTCAAAATATAAATCTGTAAATATTCCATTTTTTCTGAAATATAGGAATATATTCAAGTAGAATGCTATTTTCATTTAAATTAAAATCCAGTTTTTATATTATCAAGAATTTATCTGAAGACTAAATTTTACAACAGAAAGTGCGCCATTTAATTTTTTTTGGAAGTAACATATAATATGATGAAAACATCTATATTTAAATGATTTAATAATATGTAGAAAAAATATTTTTTGGAATCATATGAAAGTAAATCGGTTAACAATAACATTATTAAACTTCAACAAACATCTTCCTTTTTTTGATAATATTTTGAAACATTTTTAAGACTGGATAATTTAAGGCACAAAGTACATTGAAAAATATGTCAAACACTAAAAAGAGTCATTAAAAAAAGATCAAACAATAACTGAAAATAGGCTTGGATTCAAAATCGAAGAAAATAGCTTTCTCTTAGATTTTGGTTCCAAGCGTTTTGTATCATCTTATTCGTATCCACTTCTTGAAACATCAGGTCGATTCAATATAAATCTCTTCCTGCTGAATAATCTTCAGCTGATCTTCATGCCATGAGCTTCCTAGGGAGTTGTTGAACTCGTCTGAACTTGTCTATATACAAGACTTAGACAAAGCTTATAATGGTAAAGGAAGATTCAAAACAAGTCAACTTAAACCTCGTTTGTTCTAAATGAATGTAATGCGTAATATCGATACCCTGGGGCTTACTGATTCCATTGCTTCAAAGTTAACTGATCGCACTTGCGTGAGGCAAGAACATGCAGACGACGAACCGAGGGACCAGAGACGAGGAGATGCCAGAAAGCGTCTCGTCCGTCCTTCCAAGAGGTCAATAGTTCTACCTAATCTCAAGTATCCCACCAGTTGGTTTCGGATTTTAAGAGTAAAGCACAAGTAACGCCAAAGGGCGGTCCCCTCCTCTGACCGTCTGTACCAACATATTCTCTTGGTATTGAGCCCTACGACAAGAACAATCTGCCATTTCTTTCACATAGTTGTAGAAAGGTTCGATGCCGACATAAAATCTTGGCCCAAAAAGCCTGGTCTTTTCAAACAGCTTCACTTTCCAGTTGGAAGCGCGAGCTTCGTAGCCCTTGCAGATATGAGCAGACATAGACACCTACCGGAACATCTTGCTGGTGGTACAGTCAGTTGTCGATTTGAAGTTTCGAGATTCAGATTTTTCACTGGAAAGCTGGCTCGGGGAACTCCTTAGCGCTATCCGTTTCAGAAGCTCTTACAGATGAAAACAATACATAGGATAAAATTTGTGTGTCCATTCTTCTGTGCTGACATGCAAAATAAGGGTTTCGGTTTTAAGAGCATAGATCCGAAGCGAGAGCTTTCGCACGATAAGAATGTTGAAAATGGTGATATCAATCTCCATGCATAAAATCTGGTACAATATTCTTCAGAGGTACGCTTTTCTCATATTGGATTAGGAAATAAATGTATTCACTTATTTAGGATGTGAATGTCTACAAAGGGTCATCTGAAGTTTAACATCATTTGCTGTACACGCTCTCAGACTATCCTAAGGATACTAGCGTACAGCAGAACGTCAAAATCAAGATTGCCAACTGGCACAGATGCAACGAAGTTTGTGCATTTGTAATCCCTCTTTATTTCTCTCTATTAACTTACACCGGGTGATTCCACCGTGCTATACCTGCTAAGAAGGATGTGAAATAAGTGGATGATCCCTTGAAGTTTTATGTATTGAGGATACATTACAGGTGTAACTCGCTCGCCTTCCTGTAAGACGTGGTCGACGTTGAAAACTTGATCATTTGATCATTCAATTCACAAGTCAAGCTTCGGTGATGTGTTTTTAAAGGATACCAAATTGATGATTCCTAGTGACCGCAAGTGCTACTGACTGACTTGCGGATTATAGGCTTTGCGTAGTGTCAGGAGACCTGAGGATGGCGACACTGAGTCTTAGCACAAGATCTCAAGAGACTAGGTTCAAGTTACTCAGAAATGGAATACCAAACTGTGGAGCAACTTATTTCTTAGGTGATCACCATGATTGCAAGCTCGTTCTCAAATTGATGGGATGTAATCGGATGAGCAAATATCGGACTACACAAGTGGTCAACCGTACAATTGACAAGTTTACTCGCCGAGTAGTCTAGCAAAACTGACAGTTTGAAATATACGGAGAGACTATATCAAATCAGGTGGTCGGAATGTTGGAATTTTAATGCGAAGGAAGACTGACTGAATCACAATGATTACCTTCTAGTCGATTATGACCTATTACGTTCATCGTGCAAAACTCGGTAGAAAATTTGAACTGCTGATGGATTGAGAAGACCATCATCCCTTGATATTTCTTCACATGACACATCTACCTATATCGCTTTGATATTCTCAAAGAAATATATCGTCTTTTGAAAGAATTCAAGAGATCACGGGTTCTCCTGAGACAGAATCACCGTAAATCCCTATAATTTCGACCATTGTCTTTCTACGGTTTCTGAACTAGGATGTAGAGATCTAAATAAATTTACAATTCTCCACAACCAACGAAGGAACTTAAAAAACTATCACACACCTTTCCAACTGATGCACCTGCTTTACAGAAGGATTTCGTTACATTCTCCAAGTTTAGCTCCTTCACATAATGTGTTTCTTTTCTACTCCTAAACAAAATTACGGAGTTCGGTACAAACTGAATAAGCACGAACATAATTGCAGCTGAAGAAGCGCAAATAGGTCCGAGGTTTGATCAAGTACAACCCGATTTGCAGATCGTTCTCGGACAACTTTCAGAGGAGGCTATTCGATGTGCCAAAAACCCAAATCTTCACATTTTTTCGCACTTTGCAATGACTTGTATATTACATGCTTTGCGGTTCATATAGTCTGGGTTAATGGTGGTCACTTGATCCTTGGGTTTAACAATTCCACCTGAATGAAGTATCTCCAGCAAAAAACTTGATACCAGGTACTTTGCAACCTCTCTTCGATATGACGTGCGTTTGCATATTAAAAGGCAGGACATCAGTCGTCCTTTTCATGCTCTTCATCTTCTTCAGAATCTGCACATGATGACAAGAACTACATGTGTTCAACAAAATTTCTCATCATTCTAGTCGAATCTAGTTGACAGTCGGTCTTAGATGCTCCCAAGTTTCCAAGCTGCGAATTCATACATCAACATGATGAAGTGAATCCCGCACTAAATGCTTTTTAAATATAAATATGTTCAAAATTTTACGATTTTCTGAAAAAACACCAACTGCATAAATGCCTCAAAAACATACCAGACCGCACATCATCTGCAACTTTGCCGCGAGCTTTCACTTGTCTTACAATCATTCTCCAAATTAGTATCCACCAATAAATATGGAGAACAAGTAGACTGATGAGCAGAGTGTTGAAGCAGTAGTAAAGAAGTGGTCCATTCTTGTAGTTTTTATCGAGTAGGCCGAGCACTTCGATACTGCACATAACAGAACAAACGAAATCAGGATAATTGACCTATCCACTTGCTGATTCTTCTTCCCAAATTGACGCATAATCGACAGCGTGAGCTCCTAATCCCAAGTTTTAAAAGCCCAAATTTCGAGCACTTCTTGAAATATAGTTCGTTACCTGGTGCTCCGTATGATCCAGAAAGGAAATATGATGAGGCGCAAGACAATCCATGAGATCGCGAACACCACAAACGAAATGCTGGGAATGATCTCGGATCCGCTGTATTTTGTTAACTTGCCTACTTCTAGGAAGATATCACTCGCATCATGAACAGCAAGAACTATCGAACCCGGACGAGCAAACCTGCATTGTCAAGCGAAAAATTAGAAAAAACATCCGTTCACCTTTGATTGGTTTTGACGCGAGTCATATGATCCACATGCGGAATGAAATTTAGAGCCATACATATCATACTCGCAGTAAACGACTTCGTCAACGGAAAACGTCAAGAAAGAGTCTCTCAGTATCTTATCTCTTCACAATGCAAAGGGTCTGGAACCACTTCCAAAAGAACAACTTTGCGTCACGTAAATACACTGTACAGACACGGTTTGATCAACTGCGCAGGCATTAAGAGACGACAGAGTCAAATTCGTCCAGAACTATCATACCTAGCTAAGTAGGAAAATACGATGAGAATAACTGTAGCGATGTGATGGGACATGCTCACGCCGAAATCCTTCCGTCTTGTCTCCCAGAAAACGAGAGCGATTATACTGTAAGCATAAAAGCCACCCGCGTACCCATAGAGAAGCTTCAACTTGAGCCTGCAGAATAATCAGAAACAGAGAGGTGATATCTCCCACAAGTTAGTAAAATTCATCTTGACCCAGATCTATCAGGCTTATGAGAAGGAAGAAAGGGCTTCCTTACGACGTAATTTTTTCCCGTCGTGCGGCAATATCGTCGCCGGAATTTCAGCAATTAAGAACGTTATACATAATTTTGTATCCTTGTACTTCAATGAGGCATCGGAATCATACAAAGCATCGTCAGACAATAGACGTGTGGTCGAACGATTCGAATTCGTTCCAGGGTCCCTTACAATTTCATATTAAGTCAGACTTTGAACGAAGCATCTCATATCGAGTTTGAATCCGCAACTAAAGAGGACGGATCACTGCACAAAGCAACTTCTCTGGTTGAAACAGATGAAGAAGGAATCCGGCGGCTGTTAAAACTGGGATGCATCGTACTTTGCTCTGTGATTAATTCTTGGACGGATGCATATGCCGCTTACTTTGCTTTCTGATCGGGCCAGTGCTGTGAGCCAGGTCCTAGCCAAAACTTCTCCGTGTCGTAGAAATAAGGCTCGTTGTAGCTAGCAACCAACGCAAATATTTCTGCAGATAAGTAATAACACATCTTCCACATTGATTCCTTAAACTTCACGTGAGTCTTCCGCAGCGCATCTTTCTCGGCGTCGTTGAATCCCTTCAAGCTAAACTCTGCCTTGCCGTAAATGAATCTTCTGCCTAGCGACTGCAAGTAAATCGATCACGAGGTTGTTCAACAAGTCAGTTTCTCGGCAATCGTCATCAGGCTCTGCTTGTTACAACCCTACCTAGCATACACGTGAAAGTGAGTCAATTATCAAACTCGTAAAACCAAAACCAGCGTAGTCCAATTGTCCAATCCGTAAAAAAGTTTCCACCCAAATTCTAAACGGGCTCACTCTTATTCACCTAGCATAAGACCGGAATCGGCACCCTAACACGCAACTTGAAAAAACCACCAATTTCATCCGCCGTACGTTGTCAAAGATCAATCCCTCCCGGTTCATTCCCATCCACAGGGACTAGGAAACATCTCCATCAGAGGGAACTATTTTCACACAAAGAAGGTTAGAGGGGCAGAATTGCATACTTCAAATACTAAGGTGTCGAGGAGATAACGGGCAGTGAAGAAAAAAACAGCAAACATAGGGATCAGCAGCAAATCCTTCGCTTCGGGATAGCTCTCTGCATCCCAATCGGGCCATTCGCCCCTTTGCCACCTTGCAATCGAGACCTCTAAGATGTCCAGACTCCCTCCTCCTGTCATTGCCATTTAACTCTGCCCGTCGAATTGCCACAGACGAACCGTAATCGGCCTGTAAATCAACGGATTCGTCCCTTCTAAGCGTAATTAATCGCAGCAGCTCCTCCTCACGTCCTTGCTGATCCTCTACAATCGCCCAAACATCCTCCGTCGCTGATCTCGCTGGGATTTACGCGCCACCTGCCAGAGCCAGAACCGCTGAGGCTCGCACGGATCCGCCGCTCGGCTGCGGAGCAAGGAACCACGGCCAGCGACTGAGGCTGCAGGCATGGCGAAAATCGCACACGGCCCGAAGCTCGCCTCTTCCCTCGTGCAATCGAAGAGCAACGAGACCCTCCCGCCCAGAGCTCCGCCCGGCGAGCGCTCTCTCGTGCCCGCCCTCAGCGCCGAATCTCAATTTCTCCCGACTCCTCTCGGCGACGCCCACTGTCCTATATATTTTACAAACCCCGCAACCAAACCCTCCCGGGCCCCTGTCTCCTCTGCTCTGCTCCGCGCTCCTCGCAGCACCGATTTGGTGGACCAGACCTGCACCGTGCGCCTACTGTATGTATGCAGCGTGCGGTGTATCTGCCTGTATGAAATTCCACAGCCTTCCCTGCCTCGGCCGGCCTTTCTCTCTCTCTCTCTCTCTCTCTCGCTCCTCCTCTTTCTCTCCGCCTGCGCGGCTGGCTGCGTAGCACCGCCCCTCGCCCCTCGCTCTTCGCTCTGCGCTATTCCGCCTGCTTCTTCGGCTGCTGCTTCCTTCCTCCCTTCCAGCACGAAGGCAGCCAGTTTGAATAACCTTTTCTCGGGAGTCTGGTGGGGAGGACGGGACGACCTCTTCATGTGCATGCGCAACCAGAACATATACGCCGCTCCCATTGGGCAGCGACGGATCCTGCGTGGCGTCTTTCTCCCGGTCTCGCGAGGGCGGGGGAGAACTTTTACTTTCTGTTAGCCATGTCAGCATCAACGTAAACTTGGGAGAATCTTCACGGGAATGTGCCCCCCGGGCCGTCGATGCGAAGTGCCACATCCGCCGGCCGGATCGCATCTACGGCGCTCGAGCGCGGCTTTCAACTGTTCGGACTGGATTCCTTGTGACGTGGCGTGCGTACTTTATCCACCGGGTGAAGGCAACCCTTTCGTCCCGGACCTGCTCTGGTGGATAAAGCACACTCGGATAGAAAAAGGTAAGTTCTCCGTGCCCACGGGCAGCCTGTTGGGACGGGCAGCTCCATGCCCCTCCCTAGTATCCCACCGCCACAGCACCCACCGAATGACTCAGAGCTCGAATGGTCCACAGCGTAGACTTCTTTGGTCTTCTCTTGGCTCCGGTTGTAATGTGCCTTGGTCAAATGCTCATCGACCTCAGGAAGTCCAGAGATTATTATAAGCTGCCGTACACTATCATCCTATATTCATCTAAATTTTTGCAGCGCGTTTTCGTGCTACAAGAATGAAGCCAACTTCCTGCACTTTAAACTTTTGTCTTAGACTCCGTTCCCTTTCCCACTTTAATCATCTTTAGCTCGACGTAAAAATCACCATTTCTCTGAAGGCATTCTGTTTACCGAATTTGTTTCTAACCTTGAGTGCTACCATCTTCTCGAAAATGTATGACTTTTACGCAGTTTTCACAACCAGTTCGATTAGTATGTTTTCGATTGTATCGTTTGTGATCATTTTTATTTTATGAAAAAAATATGTTATATATATACATTTATATATATACCAAAGCCTTATACATAAGACGGAATTGTTTTGCAATTGAATGTTCGGATGAGATGGGATTACCTTCACTATATTACGTTCAAAAAAACATGGAATAGAGGGAGCTCGACGTCTGTCGACTGTGCATCTCGAGAATCCCTTAACCACTTTTCTCCGCTAGGAAAGCATGGAACAGACAAAAATATATGTCTGCGCACTGAATACGGGATAGTGCAAAAGCAATTCAAAACATAGTTGCAAGCACAGAGCACGCTGCGGAGTGCCTGCATGAACTGGAATCCTGCTTGGATTTATCCAGCATGTGAGTGTCATCGGAATCCAAGATTGGATTAAAGGCCTGTATGTGCGCGTGCATATACACGAATCATGAAGGATCGATCATGTTCCAGTTGTTAAGTGGAATCAGTCAGCTGTCATCTCCTTGCAACAATCCTCCTTTGGTTTGCCACCTGGCCTCCAAAGTTTCACATCTTCAGGTCTCGCCAATGAGATGATTTCTCTGAGAGACGTTCTAGGAAGTGACAATTTTGTTTCCCCGTGCTCCACAGAAGGTAAACTCGGATATTGAAGTTTTCATCATCCACTTTCGTGTTTCTTCTCTGAGACGAGTTAACGTAGAAGATACTCCATGTCTTCCAAACGAACATCAAATCTGACGTGGAAAGTACACCAAGCAAGCCAACTCGAACTTTCCTTGTTTCCTTAAGGTTTCAGCTACTTTGAATGGATCCTATTGGAACAAATCATCTTCTTCGATCGAAGATCCGAAATCGTAAACCTGTGATCCACTAGTCGTCTCCCGGATTTCTCTTCCCAGCGTCGGTTTTCTTCTGGGGAAAGATTGCTTTTTAGAAGATCTTGGATCCTCAGTGCTTTTCTTGTGCGCTTTTAGAGATCTAGAAACATCTAGAAACATCTGAAGTAAACAAACTTGTGGCCCTGAGATGTCCAGACGAGTAAGGTGAAGAACCTTAGCAAGAATCTCACGATTCAATTAATTTTTTCAGCTGATCTGGCAAATGACTCAAAAAGGTACAATTAAAAGGGCACCAATAAACCGGTCTAAAATTAGTCTACACGAAGCTATGCCTTTTCCAATAAAACGATCGAAGTGCAAGGGATGCAAGATCGAACTATGGTACAATCAGAACAATGAAGAAATCCATTTGACTCCACAGGATAGAGTAAAGAAGTCGTAGGAAGTCAAATGTGGGCCTGCCAAAGGACCTTTCACCTATTTTCTGAGGCTTATCTATTGGCTCACTTTCATTCTATTGATAGTAAAAGCGAAGTGTAGATTCTTTCTCTTTGTTTTATACTGCGATAAGTAACATATTCCCATCCCTATGCTGCTTATTGTAGTACTTATATGTTGTTAATCTGGACCTTCCACGTGGTACTTGGATGGAAGAATCTGTTGAATTGTTGTTTTATTAAGAGAAGAACCTCGATCCTCTCCACATTGACCATCCTCCCTCCCATTATATCATCTTGGTTGCTACGCTTTTCGAACAATTGACTCTCCAGTACAGAATTGTCCATCCTGTCCATTCTGAAGTTTTACCCATTGATATCATTTCTCCAGCGGTGATTCACATTCTTGACGCCCAAACGTTATGATCTTTTATGTATTCAACCATCTAGGTAGCTTGCATCTATACACTAACTTAATTCTGATTTTTGACTTATCTGTTTCAAGGTTATATGGAAGATATTTAATAAATGTGTAGAAAAGATTGAGTGCAGTCAATTGCAAAAGGTAATTTTTGCATTTATATTAGTGTTGTAAATTTGACATGGTTGGATTCTTCAACACTACATCAAATAGATTGTTATACAATCTAACTGATGATATTACTATATACAATAAATCATTGATATAATCAAAATTTTGAAACATTTACAAATATGATTAAATTGATTGCTTTTAAGATGGCATACGAACAATCTTTTACATATATAAACAATCAAAAATATGATGCAATGTCATAGATCTATACTATTTACAAGATGTTAATCAATGAATTTTGATAACACTGAACTGAATGAATTCTTTTGCAAAAGTTTTTGTGATTCAAACTCATTGAGATTTTTTTGAAAGTTGAAAAAAGTCAAATTTCATCTATTTGAAAGCTTGAACAATTTTGAAATTTTTTATGAATTTTTTATGGTAGAATTTTAATCATTCAAAGTAGCCAAATGAACAATATTATTGTGAAAGTTTGAAGTGCAACAATTCACTCAATAGATCTTAAAGTTTGATCAACATCCAACCAGTCATTTGTGCTTTTTCATAATGAAGCTATAATAATTTGACAACGGTAACATAGCTCCTCCAAAGTGCAAAGAAGTTTTTTTTGAATGCAAGACACAAATTACAATGTTCAAAGTTAAACAAAGCAAGATGACTATGTCATGTGGTTTTGTCTTTTACTAAAAATAAACGTCAAGCTAGGGTTTCAAGTCGCGAAGGGTATAGGGTCGAAGATGACTCGAAGAACGTCAGTTCTTTGAGTCGAGCATGTAGTGTTGGAAGTAGTGCGAGTAGAGCAACTGTCCGTTAGCGTCGACTTGAAATCTCTTCAGAGTGGGTTGGGTTCGACCTATGTATTTGGGTGACGGTTTTGTTGCCGGTAGAGTAATTAGTCCGACGGGTTTTCTGTGGGGAAAACCGCGTATTTTCACTCGAAGAACTGATCGAAGAATTTGGTTCGTTTCACATCTCGGTTTGAAATTGTTTACCGATTTTGCATTTTTCAATTGATTCGGTGTAGTGCATTTGGTTGCGTTTTATCTTTTCCAAGAGAGAAGAGTTTCAAGAAAAAGTCTGCGGCTAGAAATCGTCAATTTGTGAAACACTGTATCTAAGGTTTTTTGAAGCTGACAAAAGTCAGGTTTTAGTTGAGATTTTTAGATAGAGGAAATCAATGAAGACATAGGTCTTTATATCGCGGTGACGGATACGAAAGTGATGGTTCATTGGGTTTCGATTGAATACCAATTTTGATTGAAGATGGTTCGTGGAGCTCATGAGGTTACGGAGATGGCGGAACTGGATCGATTGAGTGGTCGGTCGATTCGTTGATATGATAGATTGACGCATGGGCCATCTTCGCGTGTCTGGAAAGGACAGAGAGAGGAAGAGGGAGCGAGCAACAAAGGGAGAATGGAGTGGAGCGATTGGATTCCATATACATTCGCTTGCGCTTTGCGCTATCAAGTCTGTACTTCCTCTTCTCTTCGCACAGTGTGATGCTACGGCCTATTCGGATTTTTGGTGCCCTGTCGTGCCGAAAGAAGTTGCTCGGAAGTCGCTGGCAATGCTGAGGTCTGGATCGTTGAGAGCTTTTCATGATCCACGAATGTGACACATTTCTTGAAGGTTGCTCGAAGGCGCGGCTCGTAAGAGTTGCGAAAAGACGAGCTGTGATTCCAACCTTTCCCTGCGACTCAACGGATGTTCTAGACTATCTGCAGCTGATGTGGAACAAGTGGAGAGGAGTAGACGTGCAAGACTATTGTTTTCTCGGCAACTATGAGGACTCTCTATCCCAAATCTTTACAAGAAAATCGACATTTTGTGTTGTAGTACGGGGAGAAGGTCTTTATTGGTTGATTTTTCCCATAGATCAAAAATCTTTACTTGGAGTGGATTGTGGAAAGCTTTGACTGCCCCCAATTGGCAGCTCAATTAGAACTCTACGGAACATGTTACTACACGCTCTCCGATGATAGACTGACCTACATACCCATCGTGTATCTAACGCTCCAAACTTTTCAGACGGTGTCGAGTCTAAAGCCCGCCTGCGAGAATCATCAGAGCTTCAGAATTCAAACAGAATTTTTAGTTTGATCATTGTAGGGGTCAAGTGAATTTTAGCCTGGACTTTTTGGCCAATGAACACTGCCGTCTTGTTCATTCGTCGTACCAGCAAAATCCATTGTTTAATTTCCTGGTCAATCTAGCTGATTTTGCATACATGTTATGTACGTGATCACAGGTTAAAAATTTAGTAGTTGCAAGAAGGATTATCACGTGGGGAGCCAGCTCATGGGTTCGGTGGATTTTGAATTGAATCACGGATGTCGCG